CTGAAGAATGAGGGAAAATGACATTATATTGTGTTATAAAAGTAATTATTGTTTAGTAAATATGATAAAGCATAATAATAAATTATAGTTGCATAAAATTCGTTCTATGACTACAACTCTTTTCTCTTTTTTGAGTGTTGCTATCATAGCCAGATGAGACAATTATTCACTCTATATAAATCTATGTTTATTTTTTACCTCGATCATTCATGGCTGCTTAATTTCATAATAAAACTGATATTTTAAGACGTTTTATAAAAGAAAAGTCTAAATGCGTTAAAGCTACAAAGCAGCCCTAAATTTGAAGAAAAAAATTATCTGGGATGCCAAATAAATTTTGATTGCTAAGAATATCTTCATTATCAAGTTTCAGAATAGCTATACACCCTATTATAACTCTTTTTCATGAGGATTATACCAAATCTTTGGGATTAAGTATGCTAATAATAACATTTAATTTAAGAATTCTGTAAAATAAATGTAAATATGGAATTAACTCATGAGCTTTATAGATAAATACAATTTAGATAAAAGTGATAAGCCTACACATATTCATGTAAAAAGTTTTGTTAACCATATTTGACTTTTAAGAAATGACATCCATAATTAAATCAGTGGATTGCAATAATGACGTAGGCCTGAATCCTTTAAAAAAAATGGGGAATAATGGTAAAAAGGCGTAAAATAAATTATTAGTCGCCGGTAAAATATTTGGTATCAAGTCACTTAGTTATATTATGGAAATAGCTTTTGACAAAACGATACATTTGGTAACTTTTTCCAATAATATTTAGCGTGGTAATAAAATTTGATGGAATTGTTCAAAAGTATTATAAAAAATACTGCCAAATATTCTTTAGCTTTAAGCTTATACTCCATGCCGGAATATATGTTGAGAGATAAGCTTAGAAAAATTGCAAGCAAAAATATATGTTCGTCTTATTGCTATCCAATTGAATACACAACTCTTGTGTAAAGGAAAAAAACGAATTACGAAGTGCTTATATAAAAGAGAGGATCCGGACGTAGGAAAGAATACAGACGTCAGTGCGTCTCGTTGGTGCAAGAGGGTTGCGTTCGGATAAAGAGGATAAAGATAGCTCACCAGTGGAGCGATGTTCTGCATTTAAGTTAACTTATTTAGGCTTATTCTCTAGTTTTTCGGTTGTAGCCTCAAAATCAACCATCTCACGGGGCGCAGTTGTTTCCTTATTTTCTCCAGTGTTCAAGATTGAAAAGAAATCCGTTTGAATCTTATTTTCAAGAACCCTCAGTTTTCGTTCCATTTCTTCGCATCTTCTAACTTTATTTACGGACTTGTGGTGGAAGGCAATAACTTCACTAACTTCTCTAAATTGCACGAGGCCTAGCTCTTCAAGTTCAGAAATAAACATGAAAGCTGAATCTGTGTGGAGAAAAAGTTGAGACAGCTCGACATCTTCGCTGCAAAGAGGAGACCCCATCGAGAGAAAGGAAGGATAAATAAGTTGAGTCGTAAAAAGAAATATTTTGAAAATTGCTAAAGTAATATTGACCAATCTATGATTATATGTTTATGCAAATTAATAAAGTCTATCTTTCTCTAAATATGGAGAAAATCATCATGCAACAACTAAAATAAACTTACTTGACTTTTTAACCTAAGCGAATTAA